CGTCACCTCTGAGTTTGACGTTACATATAAATTTTTCTATGGTTACAAGCGCTTTGTTTGTGTAGATAATGCAGATTGCTGCAAATTCAGACTACAACGTCATCCAGTGAATTGTGAGGATACTAAATCTCGGTCTACATTTTTATAATAGTAAGATTGCACACCATGTTCATGACGCCTGTGTTCGAGCCAAAATGGCGGTTTGACAATTTGTCACTCCATCTCACCACTTATTTACAACAATATTGCCGGCTTGTTGCCTTTGGAGTTGCAAAAATAGCAGTAAGAAGGGCTTTCGACTCTTAAGAGTACCACGAGAAAAAAGAATGAAGTTTTGGCGTAATGTTATCAATAGAACGATATAGTTTTAAATTTCCCGCTTGACTTTCGAGCCAAAATGGCGGCTTAAAAAAAATATTTATGAGCGCCATCTGTCAATAATTTATTAAGTTATTTAATAATAATATTAAATATTAATAAAAAATGTAAAATAATGCAATCTATTCCAACTTTTGTGTAAAACAAATATAAATTAAATAGTTCAACAAATGTATTTGTTTCAAATATCAGAAATATGTTTTTTTAATTTTTAGTTATAATTTACAGGAAACTGTAAATTTAATTTCTTTGACGACACTAAAAAAAAGTTTATTTTTAGCTTTATTCTAAAACAATAAGAAATAGACCTATCAAACCCTACATTTTTGTAATCAGAAAAAAATAACGAATTTAATAAGCAAATAATCAGTGGTTGTTTCCATTTAAAAAAACGAAAATTGTCACGATATCTTAAAATCTAAAACCGAAAAATTTATTACGTCATGAAATTCTCTGTAAAAAAGTGTCCATATAATGTCTTAGTTATAAAACTCCACCTATAATAATAAGCAAGATAATTGCACTTGCTGGTTTTACAATATTTTCAATTTTGGCCTCTAAGACGATAGCTCTTTGAGGTTTTTGGCATTAGCAGTTTTTCGAAAAACGAGATCATGACATGTAATTCGGACATCGAATTTGAACCAGCCTGTACAACACGTATTACAACGTTTCGCCCACAAGTAATTCCTGCGTTATGACATAATAAGGGTTAAAATGTCTTATGATTCCTAATACAAAGCCTCTGAATACATAATAAAGTAAACAATATACGACAACCTCGACCATTTTATGAATTTAAATTGAGAAGAATGAAGAATAAACACAAAGAAAATACTCCGCTTTCGCTTCAGGAACACGTTTCAGCCTCGTAATTTCATTTTCATGTAACCATATCCGCTGTAAATTAAGATATTATTTTCCTCCTCCGTTCTGCAGTTCACCCCGAAATAAATTTACGCACCGTCCATGCAGTAAAATCTTCACCAGGAACGTCCTGCAAGTAAATGACTACGGCCATAACCGTAAAAGAAGGGAAAACCCGTATTCTATACGTTTTTAGCCCCGTTTTTTATTATTCTATCTTGTAAAAAGCCTTTATAGATTTCCATTTTTTTTGTTCGATCTTTATTTTTATGTTTCCTTTAAGATCTTAGTGGTTAAAAGAATCCATCTTTTTCAAAATATGTAATATTTATTATTTATACTGCTCATTTTTAATAAAGTAGTCCAGTCTTTGTTGATAGATATTGAATGAAAGCTAAGTTGAAGCCATTTCGTAAAAGATCACTTTGATCTAGTATATTAGTTAAAATTCTATTTTGTAACTCAATTATTGCTGTTGTCGTCTTTCGTCGCTATTCCGTTAATACGAGAAATGCCGGGTTTCCTATCGATCTGTCTGTTTCGAATGTAAACGTTCATCGCCCACGGGCGTCTCCATAGACGACACCGGACGTCGCCTTTTCTGCCACTAACTGAATTATTCAACTGTTAGAAAAAGGGTTTTTCCACGAAACTGAGAGAAAAGCATAATGGAACAATACCTACACGTATGTGCGAAGCAGTTTCGTGGTAAACACAAAAGGTTCTTTGCAAAACAAGGTTAAAAGGGGGAAAATGGCTTAAATGAGGAATTTAAAGAACAAATGATTCAGTTTAACAAGTATTTAGCTTTGAATTGTTGGCGAACGCTTGTTGGATGTTACTTAATGGAGCGAATAATTTGATGTCACGCCGAATTAAACGAAACATCCTACTATTTGCGTGTTTGGTGGCTAAGGATTTATAGATAGATCACGATATGCCTAAATCTAATTTATCGTTGTATATATCGTGAAATCCCCAACTTATTAACCTCATATTTTATATGATACTTAATACCTAATAATGAGTATTTAATAGGTCTTATGAACATGAAGAATCGATAATCAACGTTACGGTTAAATAGAACGTGAGACAAACAATGTAATTAAGCGTGCACAACAGAACAATCAATACTTGATGTTGTCTTATTCCTTGATGTTCATCTATAAAATTTAAATTTACTCATATTATTTTATTTCAAAGCATAATATAGATGCTTTAAAATTGCTTATGAAAGTTTATGTTTTATCACGAAATACTTTATGCGTTAATATTAAAGAAATGTTATCGAATGCAATAAAAACCGTTAAAAACGTCAATTTAAAATTTATTGATGATAAACGTACGTAACGTTAAAATCGTTATTTTCTCCGGTTTGAATTTTACTGTTGAGCGCGTCGGTAAATTTCGTTGGTAAGAACTAGCCACTTCGGTTCGGCGTGGAGAGGCAATTTACAAAATAGAGCAGTGCAAGTGCACAAGTAATCCAGGAAGATTGGGTTCTCCATTAAACCGTAATGCTTCAGTGAGAGGTCCGAACCTTCGCGCAAACCGGCTTTCTAGTAATCCACTTCAAGACTTTTTCTTGTTTTATTTCTGTAACAATTTTTAGTTCACTTTATCATCTTCAATAAAGTGGGTGTTGTTCAAATTAGCATACAACTTTTAATAGCCACTCTACGGTTCTCAGCGTTTAAAGTGATCTTACCACACCGTTTTATATCTGTTTAAAATCTACGAGAACCTCAATGCATCAATTAATAAATTTTAATTTAATCTTTCTTTGGCAATCGAATGATAAGCGACCGAATGATGGCAAAACACTTATAAACAACTACACAGTAAGTAATTTATTAAAACAACACAACACTTATTTACCAAAGAAATGTGTACAGAGATAAAAATATTTAAGTTTTCTTATTTTTTTTATAACTTAATAATTATAACTGATGGAAAAAAATGTTTCGTACAACAAATGTTTAGAATTAACCCATAAAACATATCCAGTGAGTTATTTTAATCCACCAATCAGTAATACCAACCTAACTCAAAAATAAAACAAAATTTTGGGGTTTTTGACAATTTTCATATATAACTTCTTAATTATGAATGATGGAGGATTACTTTTTAGGTAAAAAACGTTTAGAATTAACACATAAGACGTATTGAATACAGATATTTACTCCATCAATCAGTATTACCAACCCAACTTAAGAAAAATAGAAATTCTGACGTTTTCAACAATTTTCTTATATAACTTAATAATTAACTGATGAAAAAAAAGTTTCGTACAACAAATGTTTAGAATTAACCCATAAAACATATCCAGTGAGTTATTTTAATCCACCAATCAGTAGTAGCAACCTAACTCAAAAATAAAACCAAATTTTGGGGTTTTTGACAATTTTCGGTTATAACTTCTTAATTATGAATGATGGAGGATTACTTTTTAGGTAAAAAACGTTTAGAATTAACACATAAGACGTATTGAATACAGATATTTACTCCATCAATCAGTATTACCAACCCAACTTAAGAAAAATAGAAATTCTGACGTTTTCAACAATTTTCTTATATAACTTAATAATTATAACTGATGAAAAAAAATGTTTCGTACAAAAATGGTTTATAATTAACCCATAAAACATATCCGATGAGTTATTTTAATCCACCAGTCAGTAGTACCAAGCTAACTCAAATATAAAACTAAATTTTAGGGTTTTTGACAATTTGCTTGTATAACTCATTAATTATAACTGATGAAAAAAAATGTTTCGTACAAAAATGGTTTTAAATTAACCCATAAAACATATCCCATAAGTTATTTGAAAAAGATAACACCAATATATATATGTACTCGTCGGATGTTTTCGCAAAAAGTTATAATATTATTATTATTATCATTTTCTCTTCATCTCCTCTTTCTCCCCAAAAGCACTGCAGCTCAAATAGAGGCTAGTATTTCTCTTGCCTTGCATTCTGCTGCGTAAGAGCTTTTTTGGCATTCTTCTTCTCATTGGAGTGTTTGCACCCTGACAAATTCTGAGATAGAGGCTTCCTTGAACAGATGGTTAAGTTCCCCGTTTGGAAGAATAATGAAGTTCTTCCATTTTCTTCAGTATTTTCAAATAGTTCCAGCTTATTCTTTGAACTCTCTGTCATAATCCATGTCTCGCATCCATAGCACAGTATAAGTCTAATGATGGTTTTATAGTCTCTAAAACAAGGTGAAAACTGTACCTATTCCATGATGAATTATGAGACGAATTAAAATTTAAATGTTAATTAAAAAGATTGGCTCGAAAATTTTCTAGCTGTAATTTAGGAATTCTTATATCTAGAATCTGTACACATTTCTTTTGTACTATTCATTTTACTACTACCAAAGCACACTGTTCATTTAAAAACAAAAAGACCAAAGAAAAAACGTACAACCAATTTGCTTTATACGTGTTCGCCATCACACACAAATGCACCCAACATCCTGTGTCTGTCGCATCTTGAAAGTTCTACAAATAAATCGATTTTCCCCTTCGATACGACAACCGTGCAATTTACGCCTCCCTCCGGTTTGTTATAAATCACCGCAAAACCTCGACGTCGAGGTCCTGTACGATGGAAAACGAGTACTAAAATTGACACACCCCCAACCCCCCTTTAAACTCCTGCAACCAACTTTCCAACCGAAATATATCATTGACAAGTTTGCCAAGTTGCATTTTATATCGTTCTTTTTTTCTTTTTATTACTTTCAGAACACTGTCGACAAGTTGGTGCAAAGAGCCAACGCATCACTCCTAATAGGAACGTCATCTTGGAAAGAACAGTTTGTGGAAGCCGTAAACGTCAGCGCCAGCGATGAATCGGATGAGAAAGCTCCTTCATACATGGACTATTTTATGCACTGTCTAACATTCTTTTGGAAAGTTGCCTTTGCTTTCGTTCCCCCAACAGGTAAAATTTTCTTTCTTTTATTTATTTTTAATCATCATGAGCATTTTTTTTTTAGGATTATTTAGAGGATATCTTTGTTTCGTAATATCTATAGTTGTAATTGGTATTGTTACGGCTGTTATTGGTGACGTAGCATCTCATTTTGGTGCTACATTAGGAATTAAGGATTCCGTAACAGCTATTGTATTCGTAGCTTTGGGCACAAGTATTCCAGGTAATTATCAATGTTATATGAATTTCAGTATAATTTTCTCGATGGTGAAAAAAATCGATTACTGCTCTCTACATATTATTTATGCAATTCATGCATGCATAAGTATTTTAAAATATTTCCGTTGCTGTCAACTTGTAATTTCAAATAGCTGGAAAATAATTGATAAATTAATTAATAAATTTTTTTAAAATGAATTTAATAAATAATTTTTAGCAATCAACGCCTAAATAGTAAATAGATTTGGATTTTGATTGTATATTATTTTTCCACCAACAAACAACGAAAAACCAATTTTAAAATTTCTATAAACAATATAAATCCGTTGTTTGTGTTAATATTTTATTCGAATGTTGTTTTTATAAACGTTTTTGTTGTATTATTTATTCCAATTTTTACTAAATACTTTAGGCTTTTACATAGGATGTAAATAAAGACAAGAAAATTATTCCTTGTATTCTTAAGAATTATTATGGGTTGTTAAACTCAAGATGTTATCGTTTGCAGATACTTTCGCAAGTAAAGTGGCCGCGATCCAAGATAAGTACGCGGACGCAAGCATAGGGAACGTGACCGGAAGTAACGCCGTCAACGTTTTTCTTGGAATAGGCGTGGCATGGTCCCTAGCGGCCATCTACCACAACTATCACGGGAACGCTTTCAAAGTGAACCCGGGCAAGTAAGTATGCCCCCGAGCGTTGGATTAATTTCCGAAAGGGGATAAGCGGAATAACAATGCCTATTTTGAATTCCCCCTTTTCCCTTCCATAACGCCGAAATTTTACGAACCAAGTATTGGCCATATTAATTTTCTAGGAAACCCCGAAATTAAATTTTGAAAATATACGGGCTTAAAATAAACGGGTTGAAAAACGAGGTGAGAATTAACTATGGGATGTATAAATTTCGTTTCTCCATCGGAGAATCGGTTATTACTAGGTTTTTATCTTTACGGCGTCGCCTTTACAGGTGGCTCGGAATTTCCGAGACGGCGTGATTTATATCCAAGGCGGAATTGCGGTTTCCCAACGTAAATCATGCGACGTTCCATAAATGTCCCCGGTGGTATTCGTCTTTCTGCTCGAGAAAATAGAATTCGCCAACCTATGTTACAGTATTTCACCAAATAAATCATTCAAAAAATAGTACACAAATTGTAACAAAAAAAAATTGGAAATGTGATACTACACAAAATTAATTTCTCACAATTTAAAGTTCATCTCTTATCGATTCAATTTAGCCCCGGAGTACGAATAAATATTTTTTGATGTAACCGTATTTCATGTACAATTTTACGTTATTTAAAATTTGTTTAGCTATTTTGTTGTCTAAAAAACTAAGAAGGAACCATGTCGAATCAAATAACGTATAGATTAGTGATAGAATGGATAGTGATTGCGAAAAGCCGAATACCGGTTATCCGACATATCTATCCGGCCATTATGGTTATAATTTCTAGTACATTTCTGAAGTGATACCCTACATTGCCACATTATTGCGATATTTGAATAAAAATTAAATGAATAAGAAAGCTGATAAGATATGTTAACTTATTTGGATCCAAGATACAAAATGAACTTTTTTGATGCTGATTTAACTCTAAAAAGACGATACTTTAATTAGTAATTGGCGATATTTCCACAAGGATCCTTCAAGAAATTGCAACATCGAAAATTTTATCAAAACTTCAAATATTGTTTTGTCAAAAACTAAAAGTTATTTTTCAAAACGGGTTGGTTCATTGGAAAGAAGACACTTTTATTAACAATTTGGGATATTTTCATACTCATATTCCAAGAAGTGGATTTTATACGAATTTTTAAAACTTAATCGGCGAAAATTGCAAGATTCGAAAAAATTGTCGATCATTTCAAAATTTATTTCTCAAAAACTAAAAGCGATTTTTCAAAACAGCTTATTGCACTAAAAAGAGGATATTTTAATTAATAATTGGTGATATTTCCACAAGGATCCTTCAAGAAATTGCAACATCGAAAATTTTATCAAAACTTCAAATATTGTTTTCTCAAAAACTAAAAGTTATTTTTCAAAACGGTTTGGTTCATTGGAAAGAAGACACTTTTATTAACAATTTGGGATATTTTCATACTTATATTCCAAGAAATGGATTTTATACGAATTTTTAAAACTTAATCGGCGAAAATTGCAAGATTCGAAAAAATTGCCGATTATTTCAAAAATTATTTCTCAAGAACTAAAAGTGACTTTTCAAAACGGCTTTTTGCATTAAAAAGAGGATACTTTAATTAATAATTGATATTTCCACAAGGATCCTACAAGAAATTAATTTTATAGCGAATTTTTAAAATTATCGATGAAAATTGCAACATCGAAAATGTTATCAATACTTCAAATATTGTTTTCTCAAAAACTAAAAGTTATTTTTAAAACGGGTTCATTCATTGGAAAGAGGACACTTTTATTAACACTTTGGGAAATTTTCATACTCTTATTCCAAGAAATCGATTTTATACGAATTTTTAAAATTTAATCGGCGAAAATTGCATAATTCGAAAAAATTATCGATTATTTCAAAAATTTATTTCTCAAGAACTAAAAGTGATTTTTCAAAACGGCTTATTGAATTAAAAAGAGGATACTTTAATTAATAATTGGTGATATTTCCACAAGGATCCTTCAAGAAATTAATTTTATAGCGAATTTTGAAAATTATCGATGAAAATTGCAACATCGAAAATTTTATCAAAACTTCAAATATTGTTTTCTCAAAAACTAAAAGTTATTTTTCAAAACGGGTTGGTTCATTGGAAAGAGGACACTCTTATTAACACTTTGGGATATTTTCATACTTTGGAGTCCTCTTCTTCTCTCTCCGCCAATATGGTTGTTTCGTAACACTGAACACATTAAATAAATTCTGATTTTTCTCCAATTTTTGATGACCATCAGTCTCTAAATTGTTTCACATTTTTATAACAATCCACGTTGCACACTTTTGTAACTTTAACTAAGAATTTAATTTTTAACAATTTAAATTTAACTTTGTCAATTCGACTTAAAAAAATTTTTTTCAAAACTTTTTCAATTTTTATAAAAAACTTCAATTTTTTACGTTCATCTTCTTTAACAACAAATGTCATCATTAAATAAATCTCTTCTCGCCTATTAGTTTCTCTGACACTTTCGGCTGATGATGGAACGTTGATTCCGAAACCGGTTCCGATTTATATACTACAATAAAGCAAGTTTGAAGTTTTTATCTGTTTTTGAATTTTTTTATAATTTTCACTTGCAACATGGATAATTGGTTATATTATTATACTAATTTGCATATCGAGACTATAAATTAATTTAGAAGACTCTAGAATGTTATGACATATTAGTACAAGTCGCTTGTAACCAATTATTTGAAAAGTATTTTAATGCCAACTTGTTTCAAAGTTCGTTTGGCACTTTTCGATTAATATCTACTACAAATAGTAAGATTATATGAGAAAACACCCCTTTATTGCAACATATCGGCTTAATTATATATTTGTTCAAAAAATCTATTCACACATATAAAATTCAATAAATGCAATGCTAATATAACAATGAATAACAAAATACTTGTAGCCAAGCGCATCAAAAATGATTTTAACTTGTCAAAAGAAATTCTGTATTCTCTTCCCCCAACGTTGAATTCGGTTTCTCTTCGACACATGTAGTTGATATAGTCTCTCCTTTCGTGCGGCGAAAACGTTGGATGTGTCAGGAGCCTAAACTCGAACTTCCTTTAACCCATAATACCCGAAGTAAAGTTTTCATGCACTGAAATTGATGCGTAGTCTCACAGACTAAACGCCAATTTTAAAGATTTACATAATTTTCAAACTATAAGCAAAAATTTGTAATGAAAAAATTTTCTGAACAACAATTTTCTAACAATAATAAATCTGGCTAATAAAACAACTTCAAATGATAAATTATGAAAATTAAAGTAGAAGTAAATGGCAATCGAATAAAATATCTTCTTGAAACTGAATCAATACTATTCAATACCTCTATTGTCCAATTCAGCAACCAAACGTTTCAGATGTTTGCAATTACAAATCAATACCTCGTCGAAAATAATAACCGTTGGGAATACTCAGTGAATATCAATTTGATAAACATTGATATAATGAGACTGGATGTAATTATATTAAGACCGGCTAACTTAACAGCAATTATCGGACACAAATGATTACCTTGACATCAGCATTACAATGAGTAACTATGCAATAACGAGATAAAATGAAAATTTCGGTGCTAGGTTTTTACAAATGATAGGATGAACTTACAAAATGTGAAAGAGGCCCAGAAAAGAAACTTGCAGAATTTCCTTGTTTTTATTTTACACTGGAAAACGCAATGACAGGTTTAGAATACAGTTCATATTCAGTTTATTTGACCTTATTAGTTACCTTTATCGATTTGATTGAATTTATTATCACGTAATAGACAGTCTGTAACATCAAAGCGTATATCGTAATATATCTATCCTTGTTTTTAGCGTTACTCTACAATTTATTTGATACATTAATATTAATTTAACAAAACTATTTTATCTTACTTTTTTTTAGTTTGGCATTCTCTGTAACAATGTTCTGTATTGGAGCGGGAATAACCATCATCGTCTTACTTCTTAGGCGATCAAAATCAATAGGTGGTGAATTGGGTGGTCCAGTTGTAGCCAAATATATTACATCCGGATTTTTATTCCTATTATGGGTCATGTACCTGGTGTTATCATCATTAGAAGTGTACGGCGTTGTTAAGGGCTTCTAAATCTTCTGCAACTTTGTATTTTAGTTGAAGAAATGAAAAGTATAAAATTAAAAATTTTAAAACCCAATCTTAAAAATGTCCTGTCTCTCTTTAGTACTATATTGATAATAATAACGAAGAAGTAAGTTCATAAATCGAACATAAACGTTTCGTAGTAAGTGTTAAAATGCCAAAGCAATGTTTATTACTGTTAATTAATGTTACTATACTAATTAAGTACTTAAGAGGACGTTGTTATAATGCCTAGATGTAAATAAGAACGAGAGTCCGTTTTATATTTATTGTTGCGCGCGCTAGTTGTTTTTAATTGTACATAAGTGTGGTTATAGGGATATTAATTTAAAATTTAGAACGAACGAAGAAGATAGGCGAAAGAACTAATCGAGAATATCGATTAGTACAAAGAAGAAACGGCTTTAGCAGACTTATTAGCGACAACAACTGCCAACAGCCTACGTTTTTTGTTACCTAATTAATTAGATTAGTTACATATTATCATTTATCATAAAGTACATTTTAAACATAGGGTATTTTTAGAAAAAGAAAATTTTCAACGAACCACCCAGTATAAATTTTAACCTCCATCATTCAGTTTTATTTAGTACCTGCATTTAAATGATCCCTTCATAATTAACATTGCGTTGAAACACCCAAAATCATTTATTTATTACTACATACTATCATTTTGAGAAATGTATATTGTGTAAATATTTAACGATACCTATTATTCATACCTGCCACGTTGAAATTGCTTATTTGTTATTGTAACAAAAAAGAATTAAAGTTTTAAACATTCCACGAATTAAAACACGAACCTCAAATAAGCAGCTTCGATAAGTACGTAGTATTTATTTCTTAATTAATTAATTCTTCCGTACACCCTTTAAAAAGAGCGTATTATTCAAAAGATGCTGACGAATTCCACAAACTAAAACATGCCTTAAAATTGATCATCTCAAATGTTGTAATTGGATAAAAAATTAAACATTTTCAACTATACACAACCAATTTTAATCACAAAAAAGGATAGAAAAAGACATAGAATATGAGTCAATTTTTCAATTTAAAACAAAAATTAGAATAAACATTAAATCGAAAAATTTAGGAAAAGTTGACCAAAATAAAAATGGAATTGTAGCAATTTCGACTGATTCAGACCAATACCACGATTGAAGTTAGGCACAAAACGTATTACATTAACTAACACTTCAATTTAGCGGAGAAAGTGCAATTCTTTGGAACAATATTAAACTAGAACAAAGTCTGATTAGAAAAAAACAAACAATGGGAACTATACGAACCAATCTTATGTAAAATTTTGAGATATCACGAGCTCTTCTATAGAATCGTAGAGTAGATTTTTCAACCTATACTATTCTGAGGTTGCTTTTTAATTAAATTAGGCCACTATAAAAAAAAAATGCCATTAAAACATAATAATACGACGTTATAGTATGTTAATTTGTTTTCTGCAGGGTGAGTTGGGAAGATTTTTAGTCATAAACACAATTCCAAAATAAATATTCAATTACCTTGATAAATAATACTAATTGTTTTATGACTTTGTAACTTTATTTATCCGATCCTAACTCCATACACCCTGATTAGTTTACATCTTTAGTTAAAATGTTCTAATAAAGAAAATAAACTTAAAAATAAAACTCTAGTCGCTCCATAGATATAGAAAAACTATTACATAAACCCTACTTGTAAATTTTCCTTATACTCTTAAAAAAAATTTAGTAACTACATTAGAATTAAATGACAAAAAAAAAGATTCGATCTTCCATAAAAGGATTAAATGAAATAACGCAAGGAAATAAATTATATAAAGAATAAACGGCAAAGAGTACTTATATTAAAAACAATGAAAACGCCACGTCGCTGTTGTAAATTTTGAAATTAATTCATTAAATCATACTAGTTGTTCATATCAGATGTTTAAAATGAACGGAAAGGACGATTTTAAAACATTGTTATCGTTGTACTATTTTCTAACGTTAACATATCCGGCACAACTTTTTAAAATGTTAAAGAAATGACAAGAATCAAATCGTCTTAATGGCCAAATCAACTCGAAACTACTTGTAGTTTTAAGTTTATAATCACACTACCGGTATGTGAAAAAGAAAATGTTAAAATACAATAATTTATGATGGATATATTGTAATAAGTAATAGATGAAAAATAAATATATATACTCAAGTTTAAGGTGTATTTTTATTTCAAAGAAAAATCATCATTTTTAATCAGCTATCATGTTAGATTATAAAGACACGCAATACAGGGAAAATAAGCGTCGCAGCTGCAACCGTGTTCCCCTCTCCCTACTACTAAACTAGTCCCACCGCATTCACTCTGTAAAGTGGCGCCACCGTTATAATATACCGAACCACATCCGAGCTGAGAGAATTTTACATTTCTCAAAAAATATTTAAAAATTGAAAATCATACTAATAAGTTGAAAAAATAGGGAATTTTAAAGATTTTAAAAATCACATAAAGTAGTTAAAAATACGAAAAGTTGTAATATTATATAAAATTGATTTATTTTATTATTTTAATTACTAAAAAAGTTTAAAAATCATTGAAATTAATTGTTAAACACTTTATTAAAAATACTTGGAGAAAATAAGTCCACTGATTTTTGCGGCAGTAGTTAATTCCCTAAAATTCGTACTTTCCTATGTGGTTTTCCACATGCTATGGGAATTTTCTTTCTATCATCAGATTCCCATTTCAGATTTCTAAAAATTTTCATTTTTATAATTAGTTTTACCATTTGTTTTCTATGGTCTATACAATTTCCTNATAATAGTATATTATTCAACAAGCGTATAATGGCGGCTGTTACCCACGAAGAAGAAGTTGCAACACGAGCGAGCGAAGCGAGCGAGTGTTGTAATCTGAGTGGGTAACATCCATTATACGCAAGTTGAATACTATACTTTATCTACAACTATTTAATTTTGAAAAAAAATCAAAAAAAGGAAAAAAAATAAACTTGATAGACATTTCAGACATAACCTCAATATAAGAAAGCTGTCATTTCTGTATATATTTTATTTTTTGATTAGTAGGCCGTGTCAGAACTGTGGAATAATGGCTTCATTATTCAACACTTTGTCAGTCACGAGTCATGAGTAATGCGTGTCATTACCCGTCAAAAATCAAATGTATAACGAATAGATAATTCAGTAGTTGTAGATAAAATATAATACTCCTATATAACAAAAAATATAATATGTATATTATTATACATATAAAATATAATAAATATTATAATAATCTAATTGGGGAGAATTTTATAAGGTCCATTATAACATCAAATATTATCAGTATTTTGTATAATACCCATTATTCTCTATGTAACATTGAAATCTGGTGGGCATCGAATTTACTACTCTTTCGCATACATCCTTGCCGTGAAACAATTCAGATTATCCACGTTGCGAATCGGAAAGTTGGCACTTTTCCACCAAAGCCCATAGATTTTCGATTGGGTTAAGATCAGGTGACCGCGCGGGCCAGGGTATTCGCCTAACGTCATTATGATCGTCAAACCAATCATGAACAATTCTTGAAGAATGCACGGGTGAATTGTCTTGGACAATCGTGATGATCCCTTCTGGATATAAGGTTCTTACTGATGGTATCAAAATATCCTCCAGCACTCGAATATATTTAATCGAATTAAATCCTTGATAATTGTGGACGTTGTAAATGGATTGGCGGTGACGTATTCAGCAATTCTCCTTCGTTGAGCATTATTAAGAATAAGTCTTCGGCCTGATCTAGATGTTGTAAGGCCAATTTTCCCGTTTTCTTCAAATATTACTGATAAGCCTACACGTTCGGCAATTTCCCGTTTATCTATTCCTACTTGATGAAGTGCAATAATTGCTCGCCTCGTAGTCAAACCTGACTTTCGTTGACCAGGAACACGAGGCATGTTGTATTTAAGAAAACGGACAAATTTGAATGCACGTAATTGTGATATTGAATAATTCTATTTATAATTTGAAGGAGAGTTTCATAAAGCTTTATTTATAAGTTATATATTAGATTAATTATATTACTGAATTTTTATCTGACGTTTTATTTATAAAAATACTCTAAAATCATTTATTAGAGGAACATATAAAAAATCGTGTATTTGTTGTTCTTAAAAATATCAAAAAAGATTTAAAATAAAATAAAATTAACACATTTAAAAAAAGGTGATCCATTCTTCGGCCCACTTCAAACTGGGACGGTTTTACCTGGGTTAAGGAAAAGGGTAAATTCCTTTAGTCTCAGAAATCGAATTGAATAGAAACAAAAGATGTCTCCATCTTCTTCCAGTACCAGCGTCATGTCGGAGCTAACAGTGGACGATTCGCATTAATTCTGAACAGAGCTGTACATAGTTATCCAAAGAATTTAGTTCGTGGTCGTGATGCCTAGATGGCAGGGTGACTTATGTGTCGCCATTCATAAAAATTTAAGTTTTACTATACGCGCCCTAACGTATTACTACGAAAAACGTAAAATAAGTTGCATATATTTTAGTATTTCTTGCATAGAGAAAAATCGATAATGTGTCCTTCAAGAATAATACCGAATTGTTGAGACTATTCGTCGGTAGGTACCGATTTGTAGACGCCAAATTTTTTAAGTAGGTGTATGAACGNTATAATCACACTACCGGTATGTGAAAAAGAAAATGTTAAAATACAATAATTTATGATGGATATATTGTAATAAGTAATAGATGAAAAATAAATATATATACTCAAGTTTAAGGTGTATTTTTATTTCAAAGAAAAATCATCATTTTTAATCAGCTATCATGTTAGATTATAAAGACACGCAATACAGGGAAAATAAGCGTCGCAGCTGCAACCGTGTTCCCCTCTCCCTACTACTAAACTAGTCCCACCGCATTCACTCTGTAAAGTGGCGCCACCGTTATAATATACCGAACCACATCCGAGCTGAGAATTTTACATTTCTCAAAAAATATTTAAAAATTGAAAATCATACTAATAAGTTGAAAAAGTAGGGAATTTTAAAGATTTTAAAAATCACATAAAGTAGTTAAAAATACGAAAAGTTGTAATATTTTATAAAATTGATATATTTTATTATTTTAATTACTAAAAAAGTTTAAAAATTATTGAAATTAATTGTTAAACACTTTATTAAAAATACTTGGAGAAAATAAGTCCACTGATTTTTGCGGCAGTAGTTAATTTCCTAAAATTCGTACTTTCCTATGTGGTTTTCCACTTGATATGGGAATTTTCTTTCTACCATCAGATTCCCATTTCAGATTTCTAAAAATTTTCATTTTTATAACTAGTTTTACCATTTGTTTCTTATGGTCTATACAATTTTCTTCGGCATATATGGCAAGTCGTCCATTAAATCCTTTTCTATATTTTTTACATTTTCACTTAATTTGTACTTTTCGTAGAGAACATTAAATCTATTTAAAATGAATGTGGTAGTGTTAATAAAGCTCTCAGTAGGTCTTCTTAAGAATTGTATATCAGTGGAACAGCCATAATCTTTATTCAAAATAAAAAATTCGTTTTCTTCAAACGCATCATTTGAATCTTTTATTAAATCAGATCGACATTATTGGCACGTTGTTTTGTCAAAAATTTTGTGGAATACATAACCTGCAACATACGCTGTCGTACAACTTTCCAATGTAATTTTTTTTTGGCCACTGCTAGATGGAATTACTTCGTTGATGTCGTCGACATTTACATCTTTCTGAGGAAGAGTGAAGACACACCTGGCTAGTTTCTGTTCTTCTACTACTTGGTTTTCTTTTTCTGCATCCATCAGTTGCTCTTTATCTGATCCAGACAATATCAGTACACTGGCCTCATCAGCAATACAATTACTAGTATCCACCTCCATTCCCAATCTAACGTTGCTGTTATGCTGCATCGCAATTCGAAATTGTCGAACTGTAGGCGTCGAGTTATAACCGCCTCTGCTTCTGACCACAGAAAAAAAATTTTCTATAGGGTCTTGATTTAGAAAATTTGTTAACAGATATTTAATTTTCATTAATTTCAGTTCCGACCATAATAATAAAATAGATCGTATGGTCTATTGAAACCCCTCCAAACAGTAAATGTTATTTCTTTTTGTTTCTGTATTATTTGCTACCTCGTAAACATCAATGTGTTTAAAAAAAATTAATCCCTCTAATAAAATATTTTCAGGTCTATCATTGTAAATCGATAATGCTCTTTTGTTGGGATTATTATCATTTAACGCTCTACTGTTTAGAGTATCAAATATATTATTTACACTTTCAATAAAACCGGCGGTATCTATCGCTGTATTACTTTTTAATTGCATCGTTCCTCTGGCTGTAGCAACTGTTGCTGCAACTGTGTGCGAGAATATTTGTGTTGCATATTTGACTCGCATTTTCTCAAATGTTGTTGGTTTAATGTGGGATTCACGGATTTTGAGCATTGCTCTTGTAGTAGTACTTTTTTGATCTATTTTGTAGGTGTCGACAACGTCGTTCCACGAAATTGTTTTTCCATTAACTACAAACTTTAGTTTCGGATTTATGAAATTGTTTCTTAAAGATTTAATTAAATGCGGAGCGTCAAAACTTGTAAAAAATTTTTTATTATCTATTAAAACCATTCGATTATTTACAGTTGCTCCTAATAGCTCCATCGCTTTTCTGTTATTGGATCCTTGGTCGCTGACTAACATCAGAGGATTTAAGTTCATTTTCTTTAATTCTCTGATAACATCTTTTATGATTAGATGCAGCGTAGAACTTTTTACAGGTCTAGCGGATGTATAATATCCTAATGGTATTTTGTAATTATGAAGCAAACCCCGCAGATAAAATACAAGAGCCGTGTTGGCTAGTTTGGACTCTTTGCCATAGTTGGCCAGATCTTGAAATCCTTCAATTATATCCTGGAATTTATTATATTCCAGCTGTGTTTTTAACCAAATTTCATCAAATATTACCACGCAATGTTTTTCGTAATCTGTCATACTTTTAACTTTTGAAGCTAATTTCTTTGTCAGTGTAGTTTTGATCCTTGTTTTTAAATTTAAAACTTTCAACCAAGACTGTATAGTTCTGACCGCTGGCAGAACAAACTTTAATTTATTTAACATAAAACTGTACGTGCTGGGTGATTTGTAGAAAAGAGACATTGCGATATGCTTTTCAGCCTTACTCCATTTAGATTTTCTTTTTCGCTAAATTTGCATATTTATAAAAGTTCTGACAGCTTCGCTCTTGTGTCTAATTAGGTTGTCAATAATGGTTTGAGGACAAAAACTACTACTATTACGTTTCTTCTGTAAGCGGTATGTTTGTTGACATCGCGCTCAATATTTTAATCGTAATTGTCGCATTTTATTCGTCAACAGTTTACATTTACTTCTTGATGACACTTTCCTTTTGGTAGGCATATTCATAATTCGATCACTTACTACACTCATGTTAGAAGAACTAGAAGTACTCTGGTGTTGCTTTTCGTCTGGAGTATTATAGTTGACTGTGAGAGTTGATAATGCCTCCGAATCAGAATTTGATGTTGTGCTAGAATTGTCAGCAAATTGTCTTTTCCTACCATACGTTTTAACAAGCGAATGTGTTCGGACTGGGCTAGTTGGAACAGCAAAGGTGCGAGTATCAACGTCTGCACAAACATAAGAAAAACGCTTATTAAGTTTATGTTTTAAAAGAAAGCCACGGGAAGGGCGTTTCGACATAATGTTTTTCTTCGCGAGTTGATAAGTATATCACTTTTTAAAAAATGTCTTTCACAAAGTTTTGTTTCTTTTAACTCTTCGACGTCCATCAATGCAATTTCAATATTTCCGCATCGTTTTTGCCATTCGATTGCTCTTTGTTTTTCTTTTATAGGAAATTTGAAATAACTTATTCCATTATCTTTTAACCTGTGTTTTCCACAGTTAATATAATAACACATATTTTTAAGCGGCATTTTCTTGAGGGCACTAATGCATACGATAAAAATTACACTTAAAACTGCCGAGAACACTAACAACAGAAGAATAAAATTTCAATTTAGGACGCTAAGCGCACGCTTGCGCACAAGTCCTCAAGCTACTTCAACTTGGGTAGCGCCATCTAAATGTGGAGATATTTTACGGCGACGCGTAAAACTATCGTATGACATGTCTTTAGATCCTAAAGAAATTCGTTTTTAAAGCGACATCTTTTATTAAATAGCTGTAAATAATAAACTAAATTCAAAATCTCAAAAACCACCAATGTTAAAATAAATTCAGATTAAATAGACATTATTCTCATTAATATCATTATACATATATCCAATATACAATGTTTTAATCGTTATTTAAATACTACCATTTAAAGATGATCTCGCAAAACTTTCTAAATCTCCATCTCAATTACCGTTATTCGAAATGTAGGCTACTGTTACATACAGAACACACCTGTGTTCGTTTAGACATAAAAAATGGCCAGTAAAAAAGAAATTTTTGAAAATAATTCGAAACCAAAAGTGAACAAGTCAAAAAAGTGTTGTGAATTTTTAAATTACGTTGCATCGTGCGAAAAACACAACGTTTTTTCGGTGATAATAGCCACAATAGCAATAGGGATTATTTTGTTTATAAGTTTAGATGAGTGTAGAAAATGTTTTAATAATACAAAAGAAATAAAATGTTCACAACAAAAAATACAAATAGTTGAAAGTGAGAAACGAAAAGTTTTTGGGGTTTACACGTTAACCAACGACGATGGATTTTTACACAATTTATTTGATGTTTTGGAGAAGGTGGGATATCAAAAAAAAGATTTTGAAGAATCGGATAATTGGGATTTACTTTGGGCGCATGCTTATCCGTTTAGAAGTTTATATTCAAAGTTGAATAATTTAAAACCGCATCAAAAAGTTAATCATTTTCCGGGGTGTGGGTACATAACAAACAAAGTTGATTTAGCAACAAGTGGATTAAAATATATTCCACCTGCGTTTAAACTTCCAGAACATAAAGAGAAATTACTAGAATATGTTCGAACTAATCCGAAGAAACAATTCGTTCAGAAAGATAATAATCATAGGAACATTATGATAAGAAATATTTCCGATATTGATTTAAACCAAAACGGAACGTTTATACAAGAATTTGTTGACAAACCACTATTAGTCAGTGGTTATAAATTTGATATAGGTATTTATACAATTATAACATCAGTGAACCCATTGAGAGTGTACATTTATAATGGTGACGCTTTATTAAGATTTTGTCCTGTTGAATATTACCCGTTTGACCCAAAAAATATCGATAAGTACGTCGTTGGTGATGATTATTTACCAACATGGGAAGTTCCCGATTTAAAAAGTTATTATAAATCTTTAGGATTTGGAATGAAAGAGAGTTTGAACGCATACTTGCGTTCAAAAGGAAAAAACCCCGATGTTATTTGGGAACAAATAGAGGATTCTTTAAGAATTGTTATTATGAATAAGGAACCAAAAATTATTGAAGTTATAAATAGGTATTTAAATAACAAAAATTTTATATATTTTGTATTTAGGCGAAAATCATCGAGATATACTACGTTTAATGTAAATTATATGTATCTCGATGGCGAAAATAGTATAGTGTATGAACTCCCTATGAACGCTGTTGTTATGAACGTATCCCCTCCGCAAAGGTCTTGCTATGACGTCATTGGAAGAATTGTCATTTCTGTTTTCATTTATATACGTAAACCAACAGAAACTCATTATTTCTTGAGTTTAATAACACTTGTTTAATTTTTAAATAATTATTAACATAAATATTATTATTATATTAAATTTATATTATATGATATTGTTATATTTTTCCTCCAATGACGTCACGTTTCCCACCTCACCCCGCCAACGTCAAGTTGTTCGAGTTGGATAACCTTATAACCAATACTCAACGGACCTTGGTGTATGGTGTTGGTTGATGCACATCTGGTTGCAGAAATTCAAAATTGATTGAAATTAGTTGTGCAACGCCATTCGTTGCGCAACCAATTGCGACGGCTAGCCCGAATGATTCTAGTTCTAGGTCTTGTGTTAATTCAAGTGATAGTGATAGTGTAAAACTAGAACTAACACTAGAACTAGAACTAGAAACATTCGGATACTTTCTAGTTCTAGGTCTAGTGTTAGTTCTAGTTTTAGTGCAATAAAAATATGCAACACAGTGATATCTAATACTAACGAGCGCTACCTAGCACTGTCACTAGAACTAACACAAGACCTAGAACTAAAATGAATCTAAAATGATCTAGAACAAGAATGTTTTTTAGAAACATTCCGGTTTAGCCATCTCAACACGTTGGCTGTCACCATACAAGCAATTAAGTAATTCCCTAGGGGCCGCTGTAAAAATATGGTACACTAGAGTTTCTTTTTTGAAAAACGACATCTTTTTTACGTGTAATTGGTATATACAGGGTGTCTCAGCGAGACCGGTCATTAGACGTTTCTGGGGTTCTGGACAAACAAAAAATCTGAGAATGCAGACTTAAGTATTATCAATTACGTTCTCTTCATCTAAAATATTTTCAGATTTCTAGCACTTCCGGTTATACCGGAAGTCGCCACCTACTTTATTTTTTTAAATGGAACACCCTGTATATTTTTACATATTTGGATTTGTCTGTTTTGAAGGTTTATAAATAACTTTACTTTTTGCAATTTGAACCAGCAATTCTCGAGTTATTCGAATTTTTCTAGAAAAATTTGCTCCAGCGGACATTTGTTCAAAAAATCATAGAACACTCAATTTTTGAGATATCAATTTAGGATTCAGAACATGCTTAAACAACATGATGGAGTATGTTTTGGTGCCGAGAACGGCTGTCTAGATCGTTTGGTCACTTTACTATGATACGTTAACTTTTCGAAATTTGGAAGCACCATAACTTCATTTTTTTAAATGGCACCCCCCATATTTTATTACTTAGTCGTCTTCGGCGTCTCATTTTACATCTTTTATATTCCATATGTCCTATGCCTAACATTAATAGTTTGAGAAATAATTAGGGTTTTTTGAAAAATGCTCACATATCATATGGATATTAACCTAGTGTGCCATGGAAAACAAATGTTTAATGACTTATTGATAAACGTCAAAGTCTAATTTAGGTTGTTTGATGCTTGTGAGTCTAAAACCAGTTAAAATGGATATTAATAACGTAAATAATGTTTATACAAATGAAGAAATCCATAATTTATTTTTTGTGCACGAAAAGTGCGACAAAGTTCTTAGTAGAACTTGCAGAATGTTTAATGAAAATTATCCACATTTATCTCCGATGACAAAAGGTAAATTTAGAGGAATAGAAGCAAATTTTTTGCATTTTGGACGAATTAATCACGTGTTAAACTGACCAAAAAATGTAGTAGATAATGCAACGGAAGAGGTGAATACCTTGGCTTATTTCGAGCCCAGTCCCAACACCTCAATTCGAGCTGCCAAAGAAGATCTGGGAATCATACTACGAACTTTGTCGCGCTTTTCATGCAAAAAAAATAAATTAAGAATTTCTTGATTTGTGTAAATATTACTTTCGTTATTGTTATCGATTTTAACTCGTTTCAGTACTAATATTAAGGGACATAACAGATAATTATTAGCTCACATGCATCAAGTGACGTAAACAAGTGAGTCTTTGACAAGAACTCATTGAGAAGGCTTGTTTTTCATGGCACACTAGGCTAAATATCCATATGATATGTGTGCATTTTTCAAAAAACCCTAATTATCTCCCAAACTATTAATATTAGGTATGGGCCATATGGGATATAAAAGATGTAGAATGAGACACCGAAGACGACTAAAAAATAAAATATGGGGGGTGCCATTTAAAAAAATGAAGTTATGGTACTTCCAAATTTTGAAAAGTTAACGTGCCATAGTAAAGTGATCAAACGTTCTAGACCGCAGTTCTCGGCACCAAAACATACTCCATCATGTTGCTTAAGCATGTTCTCAATCCTAAATTGATATCCCAAAAATTGAGTGTTTTCTGATTTTTTGAACAAATGTCTGCTGGAGCAGATTTTTCTAGAAAAATTCGAATAACTCGAGAACGACCGAATCAAATTGCAAAAAGTAAAGTTATTTATAAACCTTGAAAACAGACAAATCCAAATATGTAAAAATATACAGGATGTTCCATTTAAAAAAATAAAGTTGGTGGCGACTTCCGGTGTAACCGGAAGTGCTAGAAATATGAAAATATTTTAGATGAAGAGAACGTAATTGATAATACTTTATTCTGCATTCTCAAATTTTTTGTTTGGCCAGAACCCCAGAAACGTCTAATGACCGGTCTCGCTGAGACACCCTGTATGAGGGTAGAAAGCAAAAAAAAAAGTGAATTCACCAGTGATCCTCATGGCACTGCAGTAACTGTTTTGCTTTAGTACCATGAGGATCACCATTATTACTCAAGTGCAATGAGATCTTGACTTACACTTGACTTATACTTGTCAGAAACATGACATCTTGTGGAAACTAATTTTCCTTGTTTTTGTGCATCTCCAGTTTGTACATCTTCTTCTTTTTCGCCGATTGTTGTTATTCTTTTCTTCACTTTGCACTGAGCTCTGCTTCAGGGAATCTGAACGTTTTGGTGTAACGTCATTCTTTTCAATACCTAGCATCTCAAGCACAAGCATCTCCCTGAATTAGGCAATATAAATTTTCCTTTTGTGAAAACGATTGTAAATGAAAAGCGCATTAACTACAGCAGTATTTAATATAAATGGTTATAATGGTTTTTCTCAAGGGCGTAAAATAACTTGATATTTGGTCTGAAAGGTCTATCCCTTGCTTGCAATTGTTGTATTCTAAAACAGAAACTGGCTTACAAAATTTCTCTCCCAACCTGTTTTTTCATCCAGTTGAAACCTTTTCAACAACAATTCCTTTCGAATTTTGTTTACCAACCACTTCTCCTTTTTTTAGTTTTTTTTGTCATGATATCCTTTGGTAAGTATTTCCTGTTCTTGCTTAGGGTATCTGATAAATGGGTATCTCTGTAAAAGTGAAATTGCCAATGGCACTGATGTATAAAAGTTATCCACTACTATAAGCCTTCCTTCAGATAAATATGGCCCTGCAAGTTCCATAACTACTCTTTCAGCAAGTCCAGCAGACTGCAGGCCAGTAACTGTTTGTCCAGAATACAGTGACACGCTCAATGTATAACCAATTGGCTTTTGTTGGGAATGTACTGTCTGAATAATAATCGGCCACGAAAAGGAATCATTGTTTCATCAACAGCTATTTTGTTTACCAACCACTTCTCCTTTTTTTAGTTTTTTTTTTGTCATGATATCCTTTGGTAAGTACTTCCTGTTCTTCCTTAGGGTATCTAATAAATGAGTATCTCTCTGTAAAAGTGAAATTGCCAATGGCACTGATGTATAAAAGTTATCCACTACTATAAGCCTTCCTTCAGATAAATATGGCCCTGCAAGATCCATAACTACTCTTTCAGCAAGTCCAGCAGAAAAGACGAAAAAGAATCATTGTTTCATCAACAGCTATCATTTCTCCAGGCACATATTCGACATTGCATCGTTCCTTCATCATGTCAATTAGATTTGTAACTTTGTATAACCTATCACTTTTGTCAGCCGTCGAATTATCAGCAAAATGAACGAATCTCAGCAATAGTTGAAATCTATTTCTGCTCATTACTTTTGGAATGATACAATTTTTGTATAAAAT